TATTATCTTGTGTTTGCTGTATATAGTTGATTAATAATAATTATGATATTATATATAATTGATCATGTGAACACTTAATTGATTGCTAAAGCAAACAAGCGAATAGAAAGGACAAATCATTAATAATAACATTAACACTACTAATCAATGCCGATCAGCTGATAAATTAAGACAGTGAGTACGCTGTAAAATGTAGAATTATTAATTCATTTGGATTGAATCTTTGCAAATATCCAACGAGACAAACTTAGACAATAACAATAAGATTACATGAGTACATGCCTCGCTTTTGTTAACAAAAAAGTTTGCATATGTGTAATGTGTATCATTGAACCACCTGATGAGGTAGATCTAGTAAGAAGAATAGTCGTGGGTTTTTAATTCTTACTGGAGTTCGAGATTGGGTGGTTTTATCTGATCTTGGAGGATAGCTTTTAAGTTTTCTAGTGAAATGATGGAAACACGACTTAGAGTTTACACCAGATCTAGTTATTTTCTCGAGGTCTGCTTAGAAAGTATTTTGGTGGGAGTTAAAAGTACACTCTGATTAACGGGTCACATATTCCATGAGTACAAACTATATCGCTACAACAATGAACATTCTACTATGTGATTAGGTGAGAAGTGTGTGGCGGTTCATCCGCCCTGTGGACCACATAAAGGCTAGCTTATATAACATCTGAACTGAAAGCAAGAGTACTTTCTTGTCGAAAGTCAAATACAAGGAAATACTTTCGAAAAATACATAGTATATAGCTAACTTTAGCAGCCCGTAGTGTTGGTTATGTGCCTAACCTGGTGAGCACAGTGGATATTATTGCTGTACGGCTAGTTAAACAAGGAATTGAATCTGTGGGGCTCCGTGCAGACCAACCTAAAAAAAAAGAAAAAAAAAAAGAAAAAGACCAACCTAGCTGTGGCTAAAGCTCTAATATAATACAAAAACAATACATTGGAGTACAAACTTTTAAATTTCAGAATTGAAATTGAACGTATCCAGTTAAGCTATTCCCCCATATTTAATATAAGCAGCTGAGGCCACAGTAACATCGTTAGTGTCCAGGATTTCAACACGTTTATCGAGTTTGTGTATTCATTGAACTTGATGTCATCATCAAGAAGGAAGAAGTACATAGTCTTGACCTGCATAACAATCAAATTCCTTCCTCGAATTATAGCGAGATTTTCATTTTTACTCACTACGTACTGTAATAAGGGATACTCTGCAATTCGCTGATGTATCTCATAAGGTTAATCATAGAAAATACTATTATGTAATTATATGGAATAAATATTATTTATAATGTGTTTCGTACAGCAGCTACAGTTCAAACAATCGGATAAAAAACGAACATTTAATTAAGTTGAAATTCATAGCATAAGAATAGCCAACTTATACAAACATTTAGTCTGATTCACTACTTAAAGAAACTTAAACTGCAAACGACAAGACTGATGTATACGATACAATGATATTCATATAACAAAGAATATGTATAAAAAAGAACACGATGATTGAAAAGGGAAACATTTAAATAAGCCCAAAATTTATAATTGGCCCTTAAGGTATCCCAAACAGAGAACAGCTCTTATTTGACCCTAGAGCAACAACTATCAGCAGGTTATCCCTGCTCTATTCTATAGAGGTTAGGAATTTTAGTTAAAACCATTCTATCCTGAAAGAATTTCTATTCTGAAAGAGTTGGCGACCTTTTTTTAATGCCAAAGTTATCGGCCGGATTTCTAAAGTAGAGTCTCGAAGATAGAATTTCTGTTTGACAATGTTTAAAGTGGTAACTGTTTTATGATAATAAAACCATTAACATGATCTATGTTCCTTCTCCTCCATGTATGTTATCTCTCCTGTATCGTGGTTCATCACCAAGTGATCGCTTGCCGATCTATCGAATATGTAATGAATGTTCCATCTGTTGTTCGTCAGAGCTTTATATCTGAATTAAGTATAGTTAGTACCTTTTGGATGTTAATTTTAATATTATCAAATGAAAGCTTGTATTGGTAACTTATCTTTTCACAAATTGTCCCCAATAAACGTAATTGATTTGTTGTTTTACTGTAATTTAATCTTAAAGTCACGAATTTTGCGATTCCTTGTCACATTTATGGAGTTCTTTTATGTTTTTTCTTTTTACATTTTTTTAATCATGCTTATCAAACCTTTGTCCTCCTCGTTTCCTTTTTTTGTCGTAACCCTCGCCTTTAACTGCTATATTAAACGGATGACCGTGTTTTAGTCTAACACTCGGGCAAAGTGCAACTTTCATGCCAGCTGCCTTCAGTCTAATAAATATGTCCTTGTGTTCCACTATCATTAGCTCTGGGTCCCATCCTCCTATATCCAATATCTCAGTGGTTCGTGCGAGGAATAGGTTTGAAGTAATGTCACATCTGACACAGCTTGGATGGTTTGGAATTTTTTGATTGACAAGTGTGCAAGCTTTATGGTAAATTCCCAGTCTACGGTTTGCCTTGTTTTCGTTGAAATGGCCAAATTCAAAGTATCCAGTAAAGTTTACATACCCCAGAGCAGCCGAAGCCACAGTTGCATCAGTGGTGTCCAGAACTTCGACAAGTTTATCGAGGTTTGTGTCTTTAGTAAACAAATTATCATCATCAAGAAGGAAGAAGTATTTAGTCTTAACCTGCATAACAGCCAGATTCCTTCCTCGAGCTATACCGAGATCTTCATTTTTACTCACTACGTACTTTAATAAGGGATACTCTGCAATTTGCTGATATATTTTATCAGGGTAATCGTTTGGTCCGTCGTCGTATGCAACTATCGGGAGATCGAATCCCAGACTTTCTCTCACCGATTCAGCTAGACGCAATATAAGATGTGGTCTTCTGGTTGTTTTTACTGCAAGTGTCACACAATCCCACAGCTTTGTACATCTTCCCACCTGGACAGGTGGCAGGAGTTTCACCGGCTCTCTTTTGTTGAACCCACACGCTTTAAAGTCACATGAACTATTTGGAGGTACAACAGCCATCTTTAACAATTTCCTGTCTTCTTGAAAAAAACCCTCCTCCATCAGTAGCATTCTGGAAGCATGCTTATCACAATCTGTTAATCCAACAGGATCCTCCAGACAAGGACTTGTTGTGACGTTCATATCGTTCCTCTCTGACATTGGTGTGATACACAGCTCTTCATTCTTCACGATACGCTGTATGTAAAACATTCCATCTTTGTCTTCTGTTAGGAACGATTCTGTGACATCAGAGCAATCTACCAGTTCCAGAAATATGGCATTATCATGGCTTTTGTAGTTTACACATCTTCCAGTTCTCTCGTATATCAGACGATTATCCATCGTTAGACTGAACGCCTGAGAGCATGTTTATTAGAAATTAGAGGAGCGTTCATATATTAGTGGATTACGCCAGCAAATTTTTGGGTCATTTTTAACCCCCCCCCCCCCCCCTCCGTCTTCAACAGTCACCATTTGCCCCCGGCCCCCCCCCCCCCCCCCTCTCCCTTCCTCCCTTGACCGAATTTCAAGATGATATTTAAAGTTTTCCGACGGGGAGAATGTTTCATAAGTGTTGAAGGACCAGGTGGATGGATTAGTGGGTCAATGATTTATTAGTGGGTCAAAAGATACTCAATTCACTAAAATTGTAATATCAAGGAAATTTGCGAAGTTTTATTGTTAATCAAATTGATTTGAAGCATAAGACCCCGTCCCCGTCAACAACTATCAGTGTTTCCAAACCCCCTCCTCCTGGCTTTGCATTGGTCGCTGACGTAATATGTGGTAGCAATATGGTTAACAGTTCAACAGTTCAATGATGTTGATCAAAAGTCTCACCTGCTGTAAATCAGGATCACAGAACTGTACTGTCAACTTTTCTCCGTCACTAGAGTCTATACATCTACCTTCATACCATAATCTTAATCGGTGGTTGTGGAAAATGTAACCACTAGTATTGGTATTAATACTGATATTTTTAGAGTTTGCCCTTGTTTTTACTGGAAAAGAAGCCATTAGCTTGTTTTCTTTAGTTGAATATTGTAGGAATGCAGGATCGTATACTATCCCACTCCTCAAATTGTAAAAGATAAAAATGATCATCAAAACCACGAGGACTAATTTGATTAGCTGCAGCCATCGAGTTAATGTGGAATTGATTTTGCGAACGAGACCCATATCTTTTGCCACCTAAAAATAGGATTTGATATATTAAGATAATTTTGAAACAAACATTTTTAATTAGGAAGGGGACATTTTCTAAAAACCTTAGAGAGGCTCCAAAAATGTTCAGCCCTCCACTATGAAATGTAGGTAAACATCTTATTTCGTTCATAGCTGACCAGACTACTTTTAAGTTTTAATTACTTTAAACCTAACAGAGTTATTGCTCGGTTCAGCGGCTGATCTGCCTCTCGTTCAGCAGGTGCTGAATAGGGGTGCAATATTAAATTTAGCCCTTGACAATAATTTAAATTAATATTTTGACACAAAACGTATGGCCAACGAAACAAGCAGGTCACATAAAATTAAATTAAAAAGGCCCTTAGTTTGAAAATACCACATTTACTAGTATCGGTCATCACAATTATTACTAATTATAAGTACATAATAGGACATTTTCATTAGCCTCGAAACTTAATTTTACCCCTGATATACTTTTTTCATGTGGCTAATGATAATTTTACTCCGTAGGTACGATCTGAATTTAATATAATATTTAATGATAAATATGGAACCACACGATTAACCACGTCATCAACTTTATTATTGATTTCGTCCATCACTATCTCGCTGTGGCACTGTGGCAACCACAATCTAGCTACATACTAAAAATGAGGCGGAAAATCAGTGACAATAAAGCGATGACACTTCGGTACCGGAGCAGTGACAAAGCAGTGATGCCATGGTGACAAAGCAGTGACAGCGGAATAGTGATGGAAGACCAATTAAACTTTAAAAGATAGGTGTTGACTTCAACTAATCAATTGTATTTCTTTAAATAGCGGGATGAATAAATAATGCGATATGGGAGGCTAAGAAATCTCGGAATGAAGACTTTGGAGACATTAACCTTCGACAATGCTGCCTTGAGAGACCTACCTGTAGATACTATCACAGAAAATACACCAAGGCAGGGTGAGTTCTGATCTTTTATTGGGAACTCACATAATTATTACTACTCACATAATTATTACTACTCACATAATTATTATGCTGGCTTTATCCTTTACTATAACGAGTTATTTTTGATCAACACTGCGAATGTTTCAGTTAAAAATGCGTGTTTTAGTAAAGTGCAACCTACCCCTCTGTCTGGCCCCTCTACTGTAGTCTACTCCTCCAGTGCTATGAGTTTACTCGATCTCCCTGAGTCCGAGCTGCAACGTCAGGAATTCCCTGGGTTCGTCTCATTGTTTATTTTATACTAAAGTATTTCATCATATGGATATTATCTTGATAAAATGGTCTTTTCCTTTTATATTTGGTTCAGGAAGGCGACAAGTGAAAGTACTTTTATTTGAATACGTGATTAAGAATTGCGATTTCTAAATATCCCCAGATAGTACGTTGGCCTTAATAGCTCCGCTGTGTTTTATATTTGAGAGCTGTTGCTTTGCAGATGGCATACTGTACTTACTGGTTCGAGGATTTCTAAGTCAAAATTTGAAAATCCGAATATTTTAGACCACGCCCATTCAATATTAAAACACCTATATTGTTTTCTCTGAACATGCTGAACGCCTATTTTTTTCAGAGACGGTAGATTGTTAAATGTTGCATATGATCTGAAAACATGAGGCAAAACGGATTAGAAATGACAAAGTTATCAAGCATTTTCTGTATCTCGTTAACAACATTGACTGGGTGATTATGTGACACCGTGACACGACACCTTAATTGGGCACCCTTCACAATTCCAATAATGTTTAACGGGGTGGTTAACGGGGTCACCTAATCACGTGATTAGGTAAACCAATCACCTGATCACACGTAATGAATAAACTCGTTATGCTTCATATCTCTGTCATCTGAGAAGCTACAGTTATAATTTTTTCAGGACAAACGTAATTAGAATGGCCAAACACAATTCAATAAGATTTAGTTCGATTCGACTATCAAAACTATCAAATAAATGCAAAAATTAACCTTCATTTGAAAAAAATGAACTCTAATATTTATCGATTTGACAAATTCCTCGAACCAGTGGTGGTAGTAAGTCATACCAGAAAGAATTATTTCAATTGGGCACTCAGTGACTGAGCTATTAAGGCCAACGTATGCCCACTAACTTTTGGCCCACCCTGTATGTATAAACAATCTCCCACTCGTTTTAGCAATCTATAAACAATTCCCAAACTATCCTCCTTGGAACCAAAACAGAGGTGTTAAAATGGTCCCTCTGATAATCAAAACAGAGATGTTAAAATGAACTCTCTGCTCCCCAAAACTTTCTGCTCTAAACAAATCCTAAACTATCCTCCTTGTAACCAAAACAGAGGTGTTAAACTGAACTCTCTGCACTACCCTGCTGTACTAAATTTCGTACAATAATATATGCCCTAAAATACTACGCTGAAATACTGTGCTAAAACGAGTACACAACAATCTGATTCTAAGCCACGTAGCTTAGCTTTGAATCATGATACAATTATGGGCAAGTTTCCATAAACGATATTTTATGATCGGCGCCGATAATCGCTTATTGAGCGCTTTTTCGGCGCTTTTTAAAAAAAACCCGTTTACAATCGCTTTTTTTACGATTATAAACGGTTCAAAAAAAATCGCTTATAATCGACTATAATTGGTGTCATAATTCAAAAAAGCGCTTTTTTGAATTTAAAAGCGCTTATAAGCGCTTTTAAGCGCTTACTAGCGTCGCTGAGCGATTTGAAAGCGGTTTTCCAGTAGGATTGGCGCCAAAAACGGGTGGATAAGCGGTTGGCCGGATAAGCGATTCGTAGGCGCTTTTTTGAACCATTTATAAGCGATTATAAGCGCTTATAATTGGGGTGCAATTTAGCTGTTTGTAAAGCGCAAATAAAGCGCTTGTAAGCGCTTTTAAAATTGAGTCAGGAAAACGCTATATTACATCTTATAACCGCTTATAATCGATTATAAGCGTTTTTTTAGAAATCGCTTATAACGGCTAATTCATCGCTATTTCACCGCTTTTACCGCTTTTCCTATCATCCATGGCCAGGTGAGCAGGAATTAAAAAGCGCTTATAAGCGCTTTTTCGATGCTGCCCCTAGCCTGGTCGGAACGGGGTAGTGCCCAGAATTTAAAAGCGCTTATAAGCGATTTCTCAATTCCCCTTAACCTGGTTGGAACTTTCATGTGCTTTTCTGAGCAACCTGGGGTGCACCGGCAGAGTCAGGATTTAAAAGCGCTTATATAAGGCGCTTATGATCGCTTTTCTACCACTTTTCCTATCACCCATGGCATGGGTTGGCAAGAATTATAAAGCGCTTATAAGCGTTTTTTCAATGCTGCCCCTTACCTGGTCGGAACGGGGGAGTGCCCGGAATTTAAAAGCGCTTATAAGCGCTTTGTCAATGCCGCCCCTAACGTGGTCGGAACTGGAAATCAGAGTGCCCGCTTATAAGTGCTTTTCTGAGAAACCTGGGGTGCACCGGCAGAGTCAGGATTAAAAAGCGCTTATGATCGCTTTTCTACCGCTTTTCCTATCACCCATGGCCTGGTTGGCAAGAATTATAAAGCGCTTATAAGCGCTTTTTCGATGCTGCCCCTAACCTGGTCGGAACGGGGTAGTGCCCGGAATTTAAAAGCGCTTATAAGCGATTTCTCAATTCCCCTTAACCTGGTCGGAACTTGCATGTGCTTTTCTGAGCAACCTGGGGTGCACCGGCAGAGTCAGGATTTAAAAGCGCTTATATAAGGCGCTTATGATCGCTTTTCTACCACTTTTCCTATCACCCATGGCATGGGTTGGCAAGAATTATAAAGCGCTTATAAGCGTTTTTTCAATGCTGCCCCTTACCTGGTCGGAACGGGGGAGTGCCCGGAATTTAAAAGCGCTTATAAGCGCTTTGTCAATGCCGCCCCTAACGTGGTCGAAACGGGGTAGTGCCCGGAATTTAAAAGCGCTTATAAGCGATTTCTCAATTCCCCTTAACCTGGTCGGAACTGGAGAGTGCCCACTTGCATGTGCTTTTCTGAGCAACCTGGGGTGCACCGGCAGAGTCAGGATTTAAAAGCGCTTATAGGCGCTTATGATCGCTTTTCTACCGCTTTTTCTATCACCCATGGCCTGGTTGGCAAGAATTATAAAGCGCTTATAAGCGTTTTTTCAATGCTGCCCCTAACCTGTTCGGAACAGGGGTGTGCCCGGAATTAAAAAGCGCTTATAAACGATTTCTCAATTCCCTTCAACCTGGTCGGAACTGGAGAGTGCCCACTTGCATGTGCTTTTCTGAGCAACCTAGGGTGCACCGGCAGAGTCAGGATTTAAAAGCGCTTATAGGCGCTTATGATTGCTTTTCTACCGCTTTTCCCATCACCCATGGCCTGGTTGCCAAGAATTATAAAGCGCTTATAAGCGTTTTTTCAATTCCCCTTAACCTGGTCGGAATTTGGCTCAGCCTGTCATTCCGCATTCCGCCAAATATTTATTCGGGCTGAGTGAATTACGACTTTCATCGCCCTAAAAAAGTGCAATGCTCATTGGACTAGCATTCACGTGATCGTTCAGAACCAATTACAGCCGCGCAAAAGATCACGTGCACGCCAACTACCAATAAAAAAGAAGTGACGTATGCGCTACAAGAGCAGCGCGCTGAGTTAGATTGTAAAATCGCATAAACACACCTATTTTTACTGGGCCGCGCTCAGCCTGTCATTCCGCCGAATCTCTATTAATGAACATGATAGCCTGAGGTCCCCAGGTAAGCCTATTTGCGCGTTTTAGAGGGTTTAATTACGCCAGGCTATGCCAGGCTTTTGGAGCAAAAGTAGCTGTAAAACTCGCGTAATTTGACCAAATTCGTTGATTTTTGTCGTATTATTTCAGACACTTTCCTCGTAAGTCTATGAGTACAGAGTAAGCTCACCAATTTTTGTTGCAATCGGAGGTCGGGAAGGATACTCAATATTTATTTGTTTGAAGAAAATTGTGCTGGCCGAAATAAGCGCTAAAAAACTATCCTACTATACAGTTGGCACGCGCGGCTCAATGTTCAATGTTGATGGCGCACTACCTATCTGAATAGAGCAACGGCAGCACGAAGGCACATGGTTAGGTGCAAAATAATCGAACATGCAGAAACTCTTAGCTTTATTGCATTGTATATCATGTGTACGCTTATTTTTGTATAAAAACCGGCTCTTGCTTATTCGCTCGCCCAACAAGAAATGCGGCCGCTTTTCTTTTGTGGATGGCCGCTCAATTTCCCGATCCGTGATGGCGTATTTATCATATTCCATACAACCTGGGGACGGCCCAGTCTTTACTGTTTGTATAAACATGCAAATATGGCGAAGTGACATGCCGACTGCCGAGCGCCGCCCAGTTAATATAATTCTATATTGAATTTGAAAATCGTGTATACTTCTATGTAACCATATGTTTATTGTTTATGCAACCTGACACGGATCTGTGCAAAATAGTAATACTAACTCAAAATAATAATAATATGCTATCAATTAGTGCCTAGTGGGATACGTACATAATGAAATTAATAATGTACTTGGTTGGTTCAGCGCCGCGCGCCAACAATTATATAATTCAGATTATCGCGCAAAATAACTGTGCGCAGGTAGTCACGTGGGCGATAACAGTGCTTGCAGGCACGTACGCACGCACGCACGCACGCACGCACGCTCGGTCGCAAAGCTACCATATACAAAAAAAACCTCGATCGCTAACCCTTGTCCTTGACTCTTTTGTGCCTTCGGCACGAGTCATGGATCGGGAAAAAATTTCACGTGACCTTGGTTTTTATGGTTTTGCAGCCGTACAAAACAAATTAACATAAACCCTAATCCCAACCATATAATTACCCCGGAGCTATCCATAACCCGCGTACCACAACCCAAACCCTAACATGAGCCCTAAACAATCGAAATCATGTTTTACTAGCCTGTCACGTGACTAACACGGTTTTGCCCATGTAACTCTCCAGGGAAATATTTTTACCCTACGTCATGGCGGGTGATTCTGGATCAGCGTCCAAAAAATACACCGATTTAGATCAATGCCATACCCAAACTCAAAGGCCTTTTCACAAGAATTTTCTTAAAATTTGGGGGAGCGATTTCGTAGGAGCGACTCAAACGCGCAAGCTGGCGCGGTTTATTTGTTGCTGTTTTACTATTTAATAACCAAATTTTACAAGCTATCTCAGCACGCCTGCACGCGCGCGGCTTTACTAGCGTATATATACATTATTTTTTTTCCTATTGGTACTCAGCGTGCACTTGTTTTTATGTCCACGATTGATTATGAACAAGTACGTGAATGCTGGTCACGCACACACTAAAATCCAATGAGCACCGCACTTTTTTCAGACGTCGTGATTCGCTCAGCCCGGCTAGAGATTCCTTGGAATGACATGAACATGCCTGACGCCTGTCATACTCGTTGACAGACTGAGCGTGGCCCAGCGCAATAATTTAATTTCATATACAATATTTTTCTTTTGCAAGTTCTGAATGTGAAGTGTGTATGACTGATGACGCAGCGCGCATCGACCGCCACCAGGACAACCATCACCATTAACAACATATAAATAAACGCTTGCAAGCGCTTTACAATTTCTGACAATTATTGTCGGAGAACTTTGCCGCGCCGTGCACTTAGCCTTCTTGCTTGGCTTCTAGATCGCCAGTCAAACAACTATGTTTAAATCCATGTTGATAAATGATAGATAAATCGGTAAAAACCAGCAATAAAAAGTGATTGTAATCGCTTATAACTTATAACCGCTTTTCAAATCCTTAGGTGCCCATGGGTGATGGGAAAAGCGGTAGATAAGCGATCATAAGCGCCTATAAGCGCTTTCAAATCCTGACTCTGCCGGTGCACCCCAGTTTGCTCAGAAAAGCACATATGAGTGGGCACTCTCCAGTTCCGACCAGGTTGAAGGGAATTGAGAAATCGCTTATAACTATAAGCGATTTTAAATTCCGGGCACTCCCCCGTTCCGACCAGGTTAGGGGCAGCATTGAAAAAGTGCTTATAAGCGCCTTTTAATTCCGGGCACTCCCCCGTTGCGACCAGGTTAGTGGCAGCATTGAAAAAGCGCTTATAAGCGCTTTCTAATTCCTGCCAACCAGGCCATGGGCGATGGGAAAAGCGGTAGAAAAGCAATCATAAGCGCCTATAAGCGCTTTTAAATCCTGACTCTGCCGTTGCACCCCAGGTTGCTCAGAAAAGCACATGCAAGTTCCGACCAGGTTAAGGGGAATTGAGAAATCGCTTATAAGCGCTTTTAAATTCCGGGCACTACCCCGTTCCGACCAGGTTAGGGGCAGCATCGAAAAAGCGCTTATAAGCGCTTTATAATTCTTGCCAACCAGGCCATGGGTGATAGGAAAAGCGGTAGAAAAGCGATCATAAGCGCTTTTTAATCCTGACTCTGCCGGTGCACCCCAGGTTTCTCAGAAAAGCACATGCAAGTTCCGACCAGGTTAAGGGGAATTGAGAAATCGCTTATAAGCGCTTTTAAATTCCGGGCACTACCCCGTTCCGACCAGGTTAGGGGCAGCATCGAAAAAGCGCTTATAAGCGCTTTATAATTCTTGCCAACCAGGCCATGGGTGATAGGAAAAGCGGTAGAAAAGCGATCATAAGCGCTTTTTAATCCTGACTCTGCCGGTGCACCCCAGGTTTCTCAGAAAAGCACTTATAAGCGGGCACTCTGATTTCCAGTTCCGACCAGGTTAGGGGCAGCATTTAAAAAGCGCTTATGAGCGCTTTTTTATTCCGGGCACTCCCCCGTTCCGACCAGGTAAGGGGCAGCATTGAAAAACGCTTATAAGCGCTTTATAATTCTTGCCAACCCATGCCATGGGTGATAGGAAAAGTGGTAGAAAAGCGATCATAAGCGCCTATAAGCGCTTTTAAATCCTGACTCTGCCGGTGCACCCCAGGTTGCTCAGAAAAGCACATGAAAGTTCCAACCAGGTTAAGGGGAATTGAGAAATCGCTTATAAGCGCTTTTAAATTCTGGGCACTACCCCGTTCCGACCAGGCTAGGGGCAGCATCGAAAAAGCGCTTATAAGCGCTTTTTAATTCCTGCTCACCTGGCCATGGATGATAGGAAAAGCGGTAAAAGCGGTGAAATAGCGATGAATTAGCCGTTATAAGCGATTTCTAAAAAAACGCTTATAATCGATTATAAGCGGTTATAAGATGTAATATAGCGTTTTCCTGACTCAATTTTAAAAGCGCTTATAAGCGCTTTATTTGCGCTTTACAAACAGCTAAATTGCACCCCAATTATAAGCGCTTATAATCGCTTATAAATGGTTCAAAAAAGCGCCTACGAATCGCTTATCCGTCCAACCGCTTATCCACCCGTTTTTGGCGCCAATCCTACTGGAAAACCGCTTTCAAATCGCTCAGCGACGCTAGTAAGCGCTTAAAAGCGCTTATAAGCGCTTTTAAATTCAAAAAAGCGCTTTTTTGAATTACGACACCAATTATAGTCGATTATAAGCGATTTTTTTTGAACCGTTTATAATCGTAAAAAAAGCGATTGTAAACGGTTTTTTTAAAAAAAAAGCGCCGAAAAAGCGCTCAATAAGCGATTATCGGCGCCGATCATAAAATATCGTTTATGGAAACTTGCCCAAGTATGTTTGTGATTAGTAATAATAATAATTAGTAATAATTATGATAATAATTAATATGTGATTAATAACCTTACAGTTACCTGTGCGGGAGTAAGAGTATCCCCGGAGCGGATTACGCCTCACATTGTTACTGCGGTCACCAGTTTGGTTACTTTAGCGGACAACTCGGGGACGGTGCTACTATGTACGTGGGAGAAGTCATTAACAACGACTCTCAAAGATGGGAGGTTGGTTTTACTAGACTTTTTGCTTTTGGATATTTTTACGAATGAAATGTTAACATATTGATAAATTAAACTGTAACCGGATAAACTCACAGAGTTGCAGTTATTAATCTCAGAACTTTCCCTATAGATTCAGTTTAAAGGAGCAGGTAAGACGCCCTTCTCCCGTACTGCTGACGGGAGAAAAGTCTTGCGGAGTAGTCTTAGAGAGTTTCTCTGTTCTGAAGCCATGTTTCACCTGGGTGTTCCCACCACACGTGCAGGTATGTTTATCATGTGCAGGTCTGTTTTATTTGTTTATCACTGGTGGTTCCTGTTTATTTTCTCTCTATTTTAAATTCCGTTGTCGTACAGGAAATTTAAATCTATCTTACTCTCCTTTCGGTTGCAAAACTTATCTTGAAAAATCGAATTTTGCTGTCACCATTTTTAACGTATTCCATCAAAATTAGGAGTTCTGTATTTTATATGAACACAGATTTTAGTTTATTGTCACTTTTTACCCTCCGTAATGCTTCATGATGTCGCTTCTATCTTTTATATTATTGCTGTATTGTTTACATGGACACGTTCATTTGAGTTTGAGGATATTGGTAAATATTAGTGGCCCTATTAAAAGGCACGGTGTAGTTGATTTTGTCACACTATGAAATTATTTGAACCCTTGATGGTTAGGATAATCGTCTCATCCTCTAGGCACACTTTGTCACATAACGATATCTTAATCAGGTGATAAGATATCGCCTAAATACGGCCGGCACGGAAATTATTACTTTGTCACACTTTTTTTTTGTTTACCAATATCCTCAAATGAACGTGTCTATATTGTTCTATTTGTGAAACTTTCAAATCAAATCAAATCATCTGAACAGGTAGTTGTGTTGTTTCAACGGACACTGTGGTCAGAGATATCTTGTATGATGGACACCCAATCAATGAGAAGTGTACCGTTATTTTGAGAATAGCACCAACCTTCATTCGCTTCGGATCGTTCGAGATATTTAAAACCATCGACCGAGTATGTCCACATTCTTAAATCTCAAGCATTTTAATATTTTCTCGTAGAATTACATTGTCTTAGTTTACAACTGCGTCGAATCATTCGATTGAAATGAAACGAACGACTTTGCTGAAGTACAGCTAGTAACTATCCGCAAACAAGAATCTCATTACATCAATTAAAATCCTGCACCTACTCTCGTTTAAAATTTCAGATGACAAGTGTATAGTATTTCAGGCAACAAGTCGAGTTGGACCAAGTGTAGGAAAAACAGATATATTAAAACAACTGTTGAGCTACACTAAAAACAGATTTTATCCTGACATCGCTGGAGATATTGAGGATGAGGAGACTGTGGTGGCAATGTATCGTGAGATAATGGAGCGGACTGCACTGCTTGTAGCTCACTGGCAGACTGTTAGTTTCTACTTCTGTTTGTCCCTCACCAACCTCCCCGGCCCCCCTCCCCCGGCCCTGATTTGTCCACCAACCTCCCCCCTTATTTGTCCCTCACCAACCCCCCTCCCCCGGCCCTGATTTGTCCACCAACCTCCCCCCTTATTTGTCCCTCACCAACCCCCCTCCGGCCCCCCTCCCCCGGCCCTGATTTGTCCACCAACCTCCCCCCTTATTTGTCCCTCACCAACCCCCCTCCCCCGGCCCTGATTTGTCCACCAACCTCCCCCCTTATTTGTCCCTCACCAACCCCCCTCCCCCGGCCCTGATTTGTCCACCAACCTCCCCCCTTATTTGTCCCTCACCAACCCCCATCCCCGGTCCTGATTTGTCCACCAACTCTCCCCTGATTTGTCTATCACCAACCTTCCCCCCTCCCCCGACTCTGATTTGTCCCTCACCAACCCCCTCCCTCTCTGATTTGTCCCTTGCCAGTGCCCAACTAATAACCCTTTAGACTTGAGAAACTCGAAATTCAACTCCATTATCTGTACGTTAGAGTACGGTTATATGATTGTATATGATTGATTGGGTTCAGCAAATCTGGGTGTTTGTAGTTGTTTGTACTTTTGTAGTTGTCTGTAGTGAACATTAAACACACTTCCCAAGGTAGGGTTTTGTCACGGAGTCCTGAACACCGATAATATGAGTATCCTGGGACTCACTATCGACTACGGGCCCTACGGATTTATGGAAACGTTTGATCCCGGGTTTATCTGCAATGGGAGTGATAAAGGCGGCAGGTGGGTTGTGTCATTTTTTATTAAATTAATTATCTATTAAAGCCCTTTAAAGCCATTTTAACTGATGGATATAGGCTTTATCTCGGCTGTATTACACGTCCTGCCATCATTCATGGACATTGTCCAAGCGTGTGTGAGTAATTAAACAGATCTTGATTTTTATACTATTTTTATATTATGTCAAAAATAAGGATTAATTTGTATTTTCCGGCAATGTCCGGCAGCCTTAAATTTCATCTTCTTAACACCCGGTCCGGAAAAATCCGGCAAACCGGAAAATATATTGATATTCGACTGTTTCCGGTCCGGCAGCCACAATCCCTGACCGGTCGGTTCCTAAACCAAACACTGTACCCTCTTGGACATCTCGTAAACATTTTTTGTGGATAAATCTTTCTATGATAATGAATAAGCAACGTTTCCAGATGAGAAGTGTTAATTGTTAGAAACAGAGTTCAACAATACTGAGAGGATCTGTCCAAGTTCTCCTTTATAAAACACCTGTGATACAATTTTTCGATTATATCATCATTTTGCATCTTGGTTCATTCTCCTACAATTTTATCAATGTTTATAACCTTTGATGTTTTTGCCGTAAGCTTATAACAGATCCAAACTGATGCATATTACTCTGTTTTTTATCCTTTTTTGACTGATTGTTTAATTGTTTTACGCTGTTGTTAAGAACTATTTAGAGCTTAAGTTGTCAGGTAGCGTTGTCAGTAAGGTATATTATACCAGCTGGTTTCATGAGAGCCAGGTTTTTTGGCTTTGTTCTCCTATCATTAGAAACAAATCAAGAAATATCGCTTTCTTCAAAATTCATTTATACAGCTCATCATGGTCTTTGCTGTTGTTTTATTGGCTCTGGTTTCCATCACATCAACAACGTCTCCGGATAGCAGAATTTGTGTTTTTGGGAACTATAACAGTCCTACTTGCACTACAGATATATCTGGTAAGTACACCTGATCAAAATTATAGAATTAGTGTTGCGATTTGAAGAAAAAGTATCATTTGCGACTCGAAAGTTATTGAGATTCATCTGACGATAATTCAACATTTTGAATGAAAAGACTATTTTACTGTTTGTTTCAGGTCTCTTTGACTGCACCTTTACTGAAATCAGCGCTTTTCTGAAAGAAACGTGTAAAGTTTCACTGAACCACGTGACTTATGACGTCATCAAATGTGCTCGCTCTGAGGTATATTATCAAGCAGTAGACATTGGCAACAAGTACCACAACTCACAAGTTTACTCAACCCCCTGCGATGACGACCAGCAATATTACCAAGTTTGTGGAGTTATCGGGAACATTTCCAGGAGAAAATACGGAGACTTTCTACTTTGTGGGTACGGAGTTTGCGAGCAAGTGGCCGGAGGACCGAAGAGAGGTGAAGGAAGATACAACAGTGGTGACGGTGTCTGGTCCTTCTTCAGGTGTAATGATAAGGTAGATTGTCAGGGAGGTGTTGATGAAGCTAACTGTGTGGACGGATTCAAATGTGAAATGACCGGCAAAAGGATATCCTTTGATCTAGTTTGCGATGGTGTGTATGATTGCATGATGGGGGATGACGAAATGCCTAGCTGCAATCATACCACTGGAATTATTTGCAAAGACTGGCGCAGAGAAATGCAATGGATACACCCGTTTTACATCTGTAACCGAGACGGTGATAATTTTAAAAACTATTGTCCTTATGATCGAGCTAATATACAGGACTGTGATGTTCACGAAGGTGGAAGATGGTGCAGACAGAGCGGAGAATATGATGGAACTAGGTATATAAAACCAAACCAGATGTGCCATCCCACCGTTGGCAAAGCCTACCTTGACTACAAAGTGTGCGACGACGGACGGGACCAGCTGAACTGCTCGAATATCGCTCTCACGTGTCGGGTTGGTGACCATACGACTACTGTCTCTCAATATGGTCTGTGTCAGGGTTATGGTCTTTGTGACGACAAGTTTGATGACAAATGTTTGCTGACGGAGCATGACTGTTACCTCCACAAACACCAACTCTGTGATGGTGTTGATGATTGTGAGTTTGAGGGGGACGAAAAGACACACATTTGTGAGGACATGACGTCTAACAAGTGTGCTAGAAGGATGAGTTTTACTTCCGGGTCTTTGAAAAACATCCCAAAAGTTTGGCTTTGTGACGGCGAGGTTGACTGTGTTGATGGAATAGATGAGGATACCAGCCAGTGGAATGTTTGTGGAAGTGATAAGTCAGTCTTTAGATGTATCGAGAAGACAGAAGCCTGCACTGAAATGTTCAGATGTCCGCAAACTACTGATAAATTCTCTCAAATTCAGAATCTTTGTGACTACAAGGAAGAGTGTCCAGGTGAAAATTCCATCTGCAGAGAATCTCGAGGAATGGTAAGTCTGTTAACAAAAGCGATTGATGATACCAGAACTCCATCAAGGTATATCTTGTCTTACCAGTGCCTTCCTGGAATGCAGGGAGATTGTGCTGTTAAAATCCACAGAGCAGCTGATGAAAACGTTTACGGAGTACCAAGTATTAGCCTGATCTTCTCTCCATCAGCCAACGGTGTGTCTTGCAAATTTTTGTTCGGCCAAATTTATGTATATCACAGTTGTAACGGTTTATGTTCTGATGCTTCGTGTCCTCTAAAGTCCGTATCGTATTATGCTTGTGCAAACGTTCCCGGTAAAGCAATCACAACAGCCTCGCCAGCCTCTGGCTTGCAATATCTGACATTGGCTCATAAGCAGGGCCGGAATTTTCAGAACGACCTATTCATGTGTGAGAATGGGAGGTGTGTCACTTACGATAAGGTTTGTAACTTGGCAGATGATTGCTGGGACGGGTCTGATGAGAGGTTGTGTTTTAACCATTTTAAATGTAATGTATCTGACTCCTACGTGCCGCTCTCTGCGGTCTGTGATGGTAGAGTTGATTGTTTTGATCTTTCAGATGAATGCAATGATTCGTGCAATCTCCAGATAATTGAAAGTTTGCCATTGAAGATATTTGCGTGGTTGTTTGGTTCTCTTGCTACTCTCACGAATTTAAACGTAGTAACTCGGAAAATATTCACCCTGAAGAGTGCTCAGCGGAAGGTGACATTCTTCAATTGTGTGTTTGTTATTTGTGTTGGATTTGGTGATCTTCTAACTGGATTGTATCTGCTGGGTGTGTCTGTTGCGGACACTGTATATTCTTCCTCGTACTGCAGACTAAGGTTTGAGTGGCTAAATAGTTGGTACTGCACTGCTCTGGGCGTCCTCAGCACCACTGGATCTCTTCTCTCGATATCTTCCATGACATGTCTCAGTGTTTACAGGATTTATAGCATCAGACATCTTTTCTCTTCGAGAGAACTCTCCAGGTTGTTTGTTTGCTTTACCGTCATTTTTATGTTGTTTCTGGTTTGCTGCGTTTTAGCGATCGTTCTAATTCCAATTTTCCATTTTGAGGATTACTTCCTGAATGGAATCTACTACAACAAAGTCACCTTGTTCATAGGTGCACCATCCTTACAAGAACACATCAATATTTTGGAGAAATACTACGGACGGCTCCGCGATTCTCTTGTCTCCTGGCCTCTTATCAGAAATCTTGTTGCAGAAATGTTCACTAACGATCACGGTGGGATTTCAGGGTCAAACCAAAACTTTTACGGGAATTCTGGTGTCTGTGTTTTCAAGTACTTTGTAACGGAATTGGACCCTCAGCGATTATTCTCCTTGTCAATGCTCTCAGTTAACTTCAGTCTTTGTCTCGTCATGTCTGTCTCCTACATCGCTATTTATCTCTCTTCGAATTCTTCTTCGAGATCAATACAGAGAAACAAATCCAATGGTTTGGAAAGAAAGATAAGTCTGATCATATTAACTGATTTTTTAACTTGGGTGCCTTTCATCATTGTGTGCTGCCTCCACTACTATGGCCAATTTGACGGGACATCGTACTACGGATTCTTTTCAATCATTGTTCTTCCTATTAACTCTGTTGTCAACCCTTTGATCTATGATGACACAATAAGCATTTCGTTCACAAAATTTACACGAAACTTTATGCCCTTTTTCTCCCGAGTTTCTGCTAACTATGGTAGCGGTAGGAGTGGAAACCAACACAGAACTCAAAGTGTTAATTTATCAGAGTTAAATGCGGGTATAGATCATCTTAAAACAGAAACTAGCGGGCCTATAATGCAGGTAACGAAGCTTTGAATAAGGAAATTGTTTCGCTCACTTATATTTAAATTTCTATCAGAAATAGAATCGGTCTCAGTATCGTTTCGAATTAATGTTTGTTGATGATATTTTTGGGCTGACTTAATTAGCTGCGTCGAAAAGGTTTGTAGATTTTTCAGATAATTAGGGAACCTAAAGTAAAAGTAAAAGTAGATATAACTCCTCTTCTGTGATACTTTAATGTAATATTTTTTTCCTCAAAAATGTATTTTCAAAACATGAACTTGTTTTCTTGTAACAAATAAAAGAAAAGGTTGCAAGAAGTAGATCACTGCCGCTCTGAAACTCTAGTTTGATCACAGAGCAAATGTCAAGGTTATCAAAACAAATTATAATGTTTAGTGTCCGTAATGTTAGTTGTGGTGTATATCATCGATCGAACGACCTGTCAAAAGTTTGTTAGAAAATTGTATTGGTTATAAATCTAGAAAATCAAGCAGTCTAGGCGTGCTTCATGTTTGAGATGTTTTATAATTTCTAAAACAGAAAAGCACCCCGTGAACACAGAACATCAACAGAAATGATGCTGGGAATCCCTTGTATTTTTTAATGCAATTTGTGCACATAGAAATTTAACTATCCCGATAGTCTCATCCTTTGACAAGAAAAAAAGAGAGATTGAGGGTAATCTAATTATTATTCGTTAATTATTTCAGATATTCATATGAAGCTCAACCTGCGATGTGCAAATGGAATGTCAAGAAGCTCGGAGAAATGTTTGCTCTCGTGGTCTCTCAACAGAAACTCGATGAAGTCCTGCTATCTTGGGAGCAGGTACACAAAACTTGTCCTCAAGCAATAAACTCCTAGTTCATACACCGTTAATTTTGTACACTCAAAAAGTTGGTTATTCCGCATTGTTCCTCAAACAACAAACTTGATTATGACGGGATAATTTAAATGGCATAATCTCAGTATTACACTTTTTATGACCTCAAGGTATACGACAGGGAGTATAACAGTCTGATGAGAAAGAAACTTGGTCTCCTTAACGAAAACTTGGGTGACGCTGACCTGTTTTCTAAACTTTTTGAAACTATGAGAGAGACTCACTCCGATTTCACCACTACTTTTCTTCTCTTACAGAGTGCTGACTTCTTGGGTATGCAATTTTGGTATCATCCATATTTTCGGAATAATAAAATAATGTACTGCTTTTAGATCGCAATATCGAAGATTTTAACTAACAGTAACGACTTTTAATTAATAATCAACAATCATTTTTGTTACGTGTCTTAATCAGAATTATAAATTTACAGAAAATGCTAACCTGGATGGATTGGTCGACCAAATGTTGAGGAACTGTTTGTCAGTTGAAGAAGTAAAGAAAACGTTAAAACCCACTTTCTCAAAATCGGACTGTGCGGCGTTGCTTAAGGTTAGTCAGTAGGCACGTGATCACGCCTAACTGCTAACATTAAGAAATATTTATAGTCTTCGACATATTTCTGCGAGAAAGTTTGATTCTCCCTGTTCAGGTTGTTCATCAATTCAGTGGAGGGAATGCAGGAGGTTTCAACCCCCTCGCGATGTATGGGATAGAAGTAGATTCAGTGTTGCGGGATCACCAAATACATCAGGACTTAGATCAATACAACAAAATGACTGCTGAAGATCGCAACAAACAATGTGTGAGTTGTTTTCTTTTTATCTCGCGAATGCGCTCAGACTGCATGTTTCAAACATGAATGAAAAGAGATAATGAGGAAGCCAATCAATCAAATATTGTTTGATTAATTGGCTTCCCCATTCTCTCTTTTCATTGTTTTAATTATACACATGTATGTTATATTGTATAATGATTATTGTTATATAATTAAATCCACATTACCGAAAATAATACTGTTTTCAGCGTGATAAATGGTTGGAATGGCTGGCTCTCTACAAGGACCGTGTAGACGAGGACTGTCAGATAAGCAACCTTCCAAATTACAAGTAAGTACCGTAATTCATATCGCTCAGAATGTTTTACCGCCTGAGATCAGGTCCGGGTTTTAACGTCACTTTAAGACATTTATGTGACACAAGTTTAGAGTTTCATTCGTTTCTAGATGACAAATTACGATTTAAGTCGGTAATAAGACTATAAAAATCCAAGGATATCACAGTATACAGGAATTATTGTTTGGGAAGACAGTTCTGGTGTTGCTTATAAGATTATAAAGCCCAAGTAACTAGATACATATCTTACTCACAGAGAAGCTAGGATCGATGTGCAAAAGAAAAGCAACCCCGTTGTTGTGCCCAGAAATCACATCTTACAACGAGCTATTGATCGTGCTGAACTTGGGGATAATTCTCTCGCTAGAAGGTAATTAATTGGTGTATTCTTAATTATTGGACATAATTATTATTTTTGTATCCCACGCGGAATAAACCCATTCCTCCAAAACTGTCAACAAGTTCAGACAACTACCGCTCCATTAATGAATTACATCTCAGACTGCTAGAAGTGTTCGAGCGGCCGTATGAGACTCCGCCAGAGCAGTGGTTAGCTGAACGTGATGTGGGAGACAAAGGAGCATGTACAGTTACATGATCTTCGTAGACCCGGGACTGCGCCCTAAAGACTGCGCGTGACCCGCGGTTTATTGGGCTTGTAGTCCCGGATGCTCTGCTCTTGGAACACATCAATTCTTTACTGTTGTTTTATGACGACATAATTTTAAACCTATTTAATGGGAAATTGTGTCTGATAATGATATACGAGTGTTTTCCTCGACAGAGCGCAGAGATAATTTATCAAGAGTGAAACAAATTAATTTTGGATTGAGAACTTTGCATTTTCGTTGAATGTTTATCATTTATGGTTTGGTTTTTGTTTTAATTTTTAGATTTCCAGAATAATAAGTAAAGGAGTATTCATTTTGGCACGTTTTGAATAATTTCAATACTACAAAAATTTACCTGGGGACCTCAAGTTTCCGTTCATATATTTGAAAACAACATCCCTGTCGAAGATATGGCGGAACGGGAGGCTGGCACCATCCAGTAATGCAGAACCTGCTGAAAGAAAAAACAATTTCCAGTGAAAGCAGTATTAATGACATTCTCACTTTTCAGAACTAAGTGCCTAATACAATTAAGATATAACATCTAAACAGTTTTATTCCTGTTCCATATGATCGAGGATAGTCAGGGCTACAAAACCTGACCAAGTTTAGCTCAATCCAGTACTGCGCGTTTGAGATATGAGGTTAAATATACCAAAAATAGGGGTTTTCTGGTGTGACATCATTGTAAATTATTTGGAGTATAACCTCAATATCTCACAAACTATCCATTTGTGGTCTTTCTGAGTTACACTATCTGTTTCCTCTGGCAATTTCGGTTCAGAGTCAATTAAATTTGAAACAAAATCTCAGTACATGTGGAAGGGCTGAGGATATCAAGTTTGTAAACGCGCGCGCGCGCGCGCGCACACACATATAATGACCTCATATCTTCCACATTCAATGATTTTTTATAGAAATTCTTTCACCATCCTGTAGCACTCATGTGCTGAGTAGGATAGCATTCAAATCATATCTTTAAAAGCTTTAGATAGATACTGAGGGAGAAAATTCATGTTTGTAAACGCGCGCGCGCGCACGCATGGCCCACTGCCCAGACTATATCAATGGACGGGAGGATTAAAGTACTTTCATACACACCAGCATGCCCATTGATGGCTTAAAATGAAGCTAAGACATACTCCTATCAGATCCACCATAAGTTAGATACCATAATAATCATTAAATGTGTCTAAAATGAGGAAGCTTTGACAAGTGCGAGTGGTTTTGGCAAATTTTGGTATAAAATGGGCCCTGAGATCATATTTTTCTCATTAAAATCACATATATCACGAATATTTATGTGTGTTGGGTGTATCCTCATTGGTATCAACCATTTCAATCATCTAGAGCAGCTTTCCTGATTCTTTATCTCATGAAAATGGGCAAAAAAGCTCATAATTAGTCCAAAATCGGTCATTTTCGCCGCTTTAATAACCTCATTCCTGGCACCCAGAACACTTTGGGTACTCAAAACATGATTTTTCGGATACCTCAGACCCCTAACTAGCACATGGAGCCAGAAAGAACAGCATGTAGGGACTTCTAAATTTTCATGGTTGAGAACCCAATGTCACACTATTCGTTCATTAATCCTGCTTTCACTGTTTCTACATTCTACATGAGTGATGGCGTCAGACTGAACCATGAACCAATAAAGCAGCTTTCGCATTCACACAACCATGAGTCTTCGTGGATTACTTGTATCACGTCGTGACCTTGATTCACGATGTCAATCCTTCGCATCTCGCCGATCTGCGGTTGCGAGAAGCATTATTTGATGCGCGCGCGACCCAGTAGTGCATCGCGCTACAAGTCGTGACCCCCACTGTCGTTTCACTATAGTGTTTGTTTCTTCAGCGGGCGTGCGCTACTGCATGGCGAGTGCTCTGGTTAGAGCCAGCTTGTGCACGTGTTCGAGAGATCTGACAGCCCGTTAGTGTTACTAGCTAGCTAGTAGCTACTGCATATTTCCACGGTGCGCCAGCAATCTGTCAGAACTTTCGAGCGCGCACAAGACTACACTGGTTTATATTGTTAAGCTTGCTTTAGCACTAAAAAATTAAATTGGCGATTCATGCTAATCGTATAATTGATAATATCTGTTTCAAAACCGTCGCGTCGACGAGTCCAACTCGGCGCGCGTCTTGGTAGGTATAAACCTTCAACGATCACGATCAAAGCGTCGACGTCTTTCAATTTGCAATTGTTCAACTACAAACTAGCTTAATGCTGCCATCTGGGTATTTTGCTCAGTTCACTGTATAGCTGTGTAAGAATCTTAAAATTAAAATCTAGTAGGGGGTGTACGGTAAAAATAAACTTGCTCGGATCTTAAAAAATTGTGTACCATTGTTTTCTAGAGACTGTGAGAATTTTAACAGTACCAAATTTGTCATACCTTTTCGGAAAAATCAGTGAGTTTCGCCTAGGTGCCATAATTGATGGTGCGCGGCTTTTGGAGCTGGGAGCAAAAGTAGCTGTAAAAGTCGCGTAATTTGACCAAATTCGTTCATTTTTGTCGTATTATTCTGGTATATCTTCGGTTCCTTGATATGAATGAGATCAGTCTGAAAATTGGCGACGACCTTCCAATAGGGTTTTCACAACTGTCCGAAAAATTTGGTGGATATCGGAGTTGATATAGTGATGAAAATGGGGCAAAATACGCTGCTTTTAGCTGTAACATAATGTCTGATGGTTGGCCGGATATGCTTTAAATTTTTCGGACACTTTCTTTCTAAGTCTATGAGTTTACCTGAGGACCCCAGGCTATTATGTTCATTAACGGAAAGATTTGGCGAAATGACAGGCTGAGCGCGGCCCAGTAATCTATGAGTAAGCTTACCAATTTTTACCTGAGGACCCCAGGCTATTATGTTCATTAACATAAAGATTTGGCGGAATGACAGGCTGAGCGCGGCCCAGTAAAACTCAGCGCGCGGCTCTTGTAGCGCATACGTCACATCTTTCTTATTGGTAGTTGGCGTGCACGTGATCTTTTGTGCGGCTGTAATTAGTTCTGAACGATCACGTGAATGCAAGTCACGTGCGCTTGAACATCCAATAAGCATTCGCACTTTTTTCCAGGGCGATGGAAGTCGTAATCGACTCAGCCCAAATAAAGATTCGGCGGAATGACAGGCTGAGCGCCGCCCAGTAAAACAATTTTTGTAAAAATTGGATCAAGGGAAGGTTACTCAATACGCATTTGTTTCAAGAATTTTGTGCTGGCCGAAATTAGTGCTAAAAAACCATCCTACAGTCGGTTGTATCACGTTGCGACCCCCACGGTCGTTTCACTATGGTACGATACAGGGGGAGCCGCGCACTTCGTGCGCGGCGGGTCATACAACGTATGACAAACAGTCAACAGTCGGCACGCACGGCTCACTGTCGATGGCGCCTTGACGTACGTTGCATATCACTTTTCCATACTGCATAAGTTTTTGCGCACTACGTGACGCGCTTGATTCACAAACGCGAGAGCGCGCTACTGCAAGTGCAATGGCTCTGGTTTGTGGTTAGAGCAATTTCATTTGCTCTATCCAGAGCCCTTGCGCTTGCAGTAGCGCGCGCCCGCCTCACGGCGGTAAAAAGACTTGTGAAACAAGCGCGCCCGCAGTGGCGCGAAAGCACATGGTTAGGTGAACAATTTCATATATACCGTGTTGCAGCGAAAGCCACGATAGTCTGCGCACTCGTGCGCGGCGGGCTCAAAACGTGAATCAAGGAGGATAAACATCAATAAAACATACTTTTGTGCGTAAATGCACGCCATGCAGCAAAATTTGCGAAAAGGCTTGCTTGATGTGAAAATAAAAGTTTAAGTATACAATAACAAATAAGTCAAGCAATTATTTTTTGAAAGGAAAAATCGAGACAAATATGTTTTTAAATTTGATACAAGTATCAAAATCAAAAGTACCAAGTATTTGTACAATTAAAAAATTTAATATAATATTTTTAATTTTTAGATACTTTGATCGGGTCGACTCTTAAATATGTTTATGTTTATGATGTACAGTTACGCGATGCATTAATTAATCTTAGTAATTAAAACACATAAGCTTTTATTCGAAATTTAACCCACCAAAATTTTCCAGAATCCTTTAAAAACGGCAATTTTGTTGCTTAAAGACAATTTTTTCACAAATTAAACCGAATTACCCCGATTTAAGCACTTAATATTATCATGAATCAATTCAAGAGTCATACATACGTTACGTCTATTCAGATGGGTCCTGATGATTAAGGTGGTGATATCGAGCGGATAATCTCCGTAACAGCTCCACTACTATGTAAAATAAGGTTTGAGTATTACAAGACTGCAACCATTCAACATTATTGGTCGATCTTACGACTGTCCATCAGGATTCATTTATTCTTGTGGTGCCTTTTGGCAGTTGGTACCACAACAAAGTACATGTGAAATCTCGTTCGGGATAAAGGAACGAAAAAGATAAGCACTATGTATTGATTCTCTATTGAAATATGATATAACTTGAGTGGACTGGTATGAGTGATGGGGACTTACCTATGATCTGTATGGGACTTACCTATGATCTGTATCTGTCCAGAGCTTAAAGTGTAAATCAATTCTTATCCCAAGTCGGAATGTACTCACACAACTACATACATTGTGATGCGAGTTATTGCTATAATATTTTATTAATCAGCTCCAAGCTAAAGTCTATGTAGCTGATTGAGTTGAGTGTGAATAATATGGGAAGGTACTTTTGGCATATCTATCGATTGGTTACCAGATCATATGACCGCATATCAATCACGAAATGTTATGAAATTGAATGGTATGTATGGTATCTTGGATGCAGTTACTTACTACTAGCATAATTTGCCATTAATTGTAGCGTAGTAAATTGCTGGATCAAAATATTGATTACGATTAAAATGTGGTCTCTCGGATATAATTAGTTCCGAATAGCATTGATTGTAGCGTAGTATATTGCTCAATGAAATAAACAATTACGATTCAAATGCAGTATATAAGTCGGTCGTCGTAAGTTGTTCACGAACAGGGGTCAGGATATCTGGATACTGCCGTACTTTTTGGATACATCAAACTTAAGTATTCAAACAATATACACATAGTAGCACAGTGACCCTAATATAAAATGAAACCTTCAAAAATTCAATATATTCCCCAACATCAAACTGGTCATGCAACCGAACCTTTGCAATATTACACTGTGAAATTGCAACTACATTATGCAGTTGCAAGTAATAAATAATAATAATAAAATTTGGTAGCTTAAACACTAACTCTAAGCCAAAT